TGCATTTTAACCCCTTCCAAACTGTAGCAAAAGGAGCATTTGTTTGATCATGCAAAAAATGTTATTCACGAAGATATATATCAATCATTTTGTGTCTAGTGCATGTATATAGTATTTGATTGACTAAAAACAATTAAAGCTGATTAAATGAATAGAAGACATAGTTATGCAAATCAATAAAAGAATAAATTTACTGAAAAAACACTTGACATTTCTTTCTTTACGGTATGATATTGAGGATGATACAATTATTTTTACGTAGAATTAAATATTTCTTTTATTAATTTATTAACCATAAGGGTAAACTTGTGTTTTTCTCACAAATGTATATTTCTGGTCTGACGGTTTAAAATGCTTTATATATCTTTATTTTTGTTTCTAAAGCTTTGTCCAGGTGAAATCATAAGGGAAGTCTGCACGCATGTATTTTAAAATGGCATAAAAATATGTGGGTGATTTTACACCTAACCCTGCGCGGGAGTTAAAATGCCGTTTAATAAAAACGATATAACACTAGCGTAACAATTATGCGAATCATCCCTTTATTTTCGAGTAACCACCAATGTTCATTGAAATTTACGTAACGTCGCGAGAATAACACACTGTCACTGACCTTACAAAACAAATTAAACGTATCAGCTCAAATATTTAATAATTAATTTGAAACTGCAATCTCACTGGTCTTATTTGGTATTAAAGACGAAACGTTTCTGCTATTGGATTTTCAGTTTTCAAAGTGAGGAAAACCTCCGATGATATCCTAATACTATTTTCACTGACTTTTTCTAGGAAGTAATTTCCATCGATGATTACATATGTTCTGAACAATTCTCTTTTTTCCTCTTTTACATAAATGTCCAGTAGACACTAATTCAGTACCAATTTGTCAATTGCATTCCGCTGTTTTTATATTTGGTCATATGAGAATCACTCAGACTTTGTGAGAACGGACAATTAAGCGTAGGCAATGAACAGGCAATATACGTATTTACGTCATCACGTTTTAATGACAGCGTCTATTTCTCTCAATGATTCAAGAAACGGTTCTTGCAGTTTTACATTGTTGAAGGAATAGTATCAAATAATCAATCTAAAGTCATAAATACATAATGTTTTGTTTTCTTTCATATGAATTTCAATTAAAGAATAGTTAGTTGCTTTGCTTTTTGTTATTGTTGCTTTTTACCTGACTTTAGATTTAAATTCATATTAAAGATTTCTGTCAGTACTTTTAATAAATGTTTTCTGATATTCAAACCTCTGTAATCGACCAAGCTGGAAGTTTGAATAGTAATGCCTACGTCACATTACAAGCGGGGACCGGCCGATATAGAGGGATCGATGGGACACCGTTGATAAATTGAGATCGAAGAGAAACATTTCAATCATGTTCGCTATGGTCATTAGGTATTCGGACGGTTTCCGAAGGGTACTCGCCCAGTCACCCTGTGCAAACCCTTGGCATCTTCTTTCTGGACACCGGTCGATATTCTAAAGGTAATCGGCAGACTACCGTAAGATAAAGTCCAATTGCCTTCCGTTGTCTGGCCTGTTTGCAACAATTGTGCGGTGACGGTAAAGTATACGTGCGATATCTGGTCGGCTGTTGGACAGTATTCGTATGGCATGCTTTCCCATTTTCCGGCCGTTATTTACACCCCCTCTTTTGTTTGCATTTTTCCTTGCCTTTTTCCCCTCTGATTTTTGTTTTGGATGGTATATTACACTCTGAAATCAAAGTTTTTCATAAAAGACTGTAAATGAAACTTTAAAACTTTAAGAAACCTCAGACGTTTGTGAAAACTGAGAGGATATGTGTGTGTGTAATTGAGTTTCTTAATACTCGCCATCGGTTGCCTGTATAAGCGAGTCCTCCAGAAGAGTATTAGTCGTTTCAGATTTTGGAGGACAGCGCAAGATACAGATAGCAAGGTGCCACAATTTCAGAAAAATATAAAAAACAAGAGCAATAAAGAAGGCGGCGTTCAATGAACGCAACCACGACACTATCCAGCAATAAAGGATAACCACCGTCAAGGAGCCAAGCAGTACACAAAACAAACTTCTTCTTCTTTACCTATCCAAGTGTTAAAGCACTCATACACGGGACTACTGTATGCTTTAAAGTCTCGTCCGAAAGATTCCTAGTAATTTCAGTTGGTCATCCCGGGACTCGAACCCACAATGTTCAGATTATAAGTCTAGCGATTTAACCGATTCAGCTCTGCACGCTAGCTAATGAGAGAATGATGGTGGTATTTATTGATTTACCTTGATGACTATGGCAGTAAGCCAACCAGAGCACAGTCCAGCCACCGTATCGTTCCTGGACAGTCTTGTCAAGCAGTTAAACAGTAATAATCTCTTTCACTTTCGCAAGGTACTGATAACTTCTGTACAACGAAAGTGACCTATACCGTTGTCCAAGAATTGAACACGGGTCGCCTAAGCTTTACCTGCCGTAAGGTCTGTTTAATAACCCTTACGCTATCCTTACGGACACCTTAGGACCATACGTGCAACGTACTGCGTCCATGCGGGCCCTGGTCAGTAACCTTTCGAGACGCCTTCGGTGACCGCTCATATACCGCTCGGAAACTGGAGAAATATTTGGCGCCCAGGAGGTGAAAATTTTAATCGGTATGTAACAGATAACAAAAGGTGTCCGGCCGGGTATCAGAGGGTATTTTACCGTGTTTGCTACGGTGAGCTGGCGATGAACCGGATGCCGGAAGAAAATAACTTTGCACTAAAATTCTCCGATTACCTGTACGGTGCCCCACCGGTCACTTGACCCCGGAGGGTCACAGACCGGAGACCTTTAAAAAATTGGCAATTTCAGCCCGTTCCGACATCGGTATCTTATCGTAAACCTAATCGGAGTGTAATGTGACGCAGGCTTAACAGTGATTTCAATAACAATAAATCAACTTTAGATGTTGAATACTTCTATCTCTTCTAACGGAAAACTGTCAGAAATAATGGTCCAAGGAGTAACAAATCACCTTTCCCGAGCGATAATTTATTAAACAAAAGTGTTCACTTTTGTATCTATACAACCTTATTAGAGACATATTATGTTAAAATATCACTAGAAAAAACATTTTCCAGATGTATTTTATAAACTAAATGGTATTTATATGAAGCATATTTAAATGATTTTAAACAAAATGTTTTGGATTGCTTTAAAGATATAGCAAGCAGATTTAAACAATAACAATGTTTAAAACACTCTTTATATCATCTTGAAACAAATTTAAACTTCGAAAGTTAAATAAGCTGTACCAAATCTTAATATTTACACGTTTAAGAATTTCTTCGCATAATCTTTGAATTCAAACAGGCAGACACGTAACTACGGGGTAATGTATTATTACTATACTATATGTAATTTCATAATCTTTTTCAAGAGCTTATATACCAGATTGTTTAAACTGTATGAATTATTTAGTTGTTGTATTCAATACCAACCGTGACACAGGTTTTCTATGTATTAATTTTAATGTATAACGAAATTCGTGTAAAATAATAAGTTAAAGAAAAACATTATTCTGTTTCTTTCACAAAGTATCAAGTTTAAAACATTGTCATGTGATTTTATATCACACTTTTTACGATACTGCCTTTTCCCCATTATATTGCCACGACTATTTCCAGTTTATCTTTTTTAATTGACATTAAGTATATTTAAGGTCTGAATCATATATCAAGAAAAAAAAAAAAGCTTCGAAAATAATTGTTGTTAAACTGACTTGATACCAGGGACATGTTGTATTTAAAATAAATAATTTTCTATGTATGCAAACTGTTTTATAATTGTATGGCTAATGGTGCGAATTTTATAGTTTTATCAAACACACATGTAAATTTCTTTTAAAAGCCTTCAGAAATAGTTAAAGAAATTTCTGTCCCTTTGACATAGCATTCTATAAAATGCCATCAAACTTAAAGAGGGGTTTCTTAAGAACTTCTTATTTTTTAGAACTCATCATTTTTGTTTCTTTTATTAATTTCATATTGTAAGCAGCTGAACCGGATTTTATTAAATTTAGACGATTCAATTTAACACAAGTTTCCTTAAATTGTACACAAATGATTGAACTATTGTGTTTGATTAAGATATTGCAGACCAATTTAAGCGCCATTTGGTCGCATAGATGCACGGAGTCTTGCCAGGCAGCAAACTGTTTTTGAAACAAATTTGTCTTTATCAATTTGAAGATGATTTAATCTGATACATCATTTAGTATAATAAACGTGCATCCAAAACTTTCATCTTGATTAGATAAGCTAGCGCTTTAATTCAGTTACATGTCCTCAAAGAAGAACATCTATGCTCATCATTTGTACTCTGGTTTCCTTTTGTTTGGTCACATTGTGGGTGCACTTCTGTTTCATCCTGTGTGGTTAGATTTATGCCATGAGCTATGTTCTGTGCAATCAGAGGTGTTATGTGTGTATCTTTGTTTTTATTTTTCATTATTTCGTTGTCATTAGTACAAAAGTGGTTTTGAAAACCGCCTGTGTCTAATAACAGCTGCATAAAGCAGGTCAAGCACCCACAAAGTACAGACATAAATATATTAAGCGATCTTAAATAAAAGAAAATATAAGACAAGCAAACAAAATTATATCTATGTACCAATGGTAGTTTATTTTAACTATTAATATTCAAATTAATGTGTGTATTTCACCCTCAGTCTTGTCATATATACATTCTAATGAATATTAATTCTCAAACATTTATTTTGTTTATCCACATCATTTCAACTTTTTTTCAGCTTTCTTCATGTAATTTATACCAATTTCGTCATGAAATAAACTCATTAACACAATTAATTCCTGCGCATTTCTGTCGTGGAGAGCAATTGTGGAAATTTCTGTGCGAAGGATTGTGTTTTTAGCTCACCTGTCACAAAGTGACAGGGTGAGCTTTTATGATCGCTTTTCGTCCGGCGTCCGTCCGTCCGGCGTCCGTCCGTCCGTCGTCCGTCGTAAACTTTTACTTTAAATGACATCTCCTCATAAACCACTAAGCCAATTTCATCCAATCTTCACAGGAATGTTCCTTTGGTGGTCACCTTTAAAAATTGTTCAAAAAATTTAATTCCATGCAGAACTCTGGTTGCTATGGCAACCGAAAGAAAAAACTTTAAATATCTCCTTTAAAAAAACCATAAGAGCTAGAGCTTAGATATTTGGCATGAAACATCTTCTAGTGAGTGTCTACCAAGTTTGTTCAAATAAAAGCCCTGGGGTCAAAATTGGCCCCGCCACGGGGGTCATTGATTTTCCCTATATGCATATAGTAAAAACTTAAAAAAATCTTCTTTTAAAGAACCCAAAGAGCTAGAGCTAAGATATTTAGCATGAAACATGTTCTAATGGGTGTCTACCAAGTTTGTTCAAATAAAAGCCCTTGGGTCAAAATTGGCCCCGCCCCGGGGGGTCATTGATTTTCCCTATATGCATATAGTAAAAACTTAAAAAATCTTCTTTTAAAGAACTCAAAGAGCTATGGCTAAGATATTGAGCATGAAACATGTTCTAATAGGTGTCTACCAAGTTTGTTCAAATAAAAGCCCTGGGGTCAAAATTGGCCCCGCCCCAGGGTGTCATTGATTTTCCCTATATGCGTATAGTAAAAACTTAAAAAATCTTCTTTTAAAGAACCAAAAGAGTTAGAGCTAAGATATTTAGCATGAAACATGTTCTAATAAGTGTCTACCAAGTTTGTTCAAATAAAAGCCCTGGGGTCAAAATTGACCCCGCCCCGGGGGGTCATTGATTTTCCCTATATGCATATAGTAAAAACTTAAAAAATCTTCTTTTAAAGAACCAAAAGAGTTAGAGCTAAGATATTTAGCATCAAACATGTTGTAATAGGTGTCTACCAAGTTTGTTCAAATAAAAGCCCTGGGGTCAAAATTGGCACCGCCCCGGGGGTCATTGATTTTCCTTATATGTGTATAGCAAAAACTTAAAAAATCTTCTTTGAAAAAACCCAAATAGCTAGAGTTAAGATATTAAGCATGAAACATCTTTTAGTGAGTGTCTACAAAGTTTGTTCAAATAAAAGACCTGGGGTCAAAATTGGCCCCGCCCCGGGGGTCATTGATTTTCTCTATATGTGTATAGCAAAAACTTAAAATCTTCTTTGAAAAAACCCAAATAGCTAGAGTTTAGATATTAAGCATGAAACATCTTCTAGTAAGTGTCTACAAAGTTTGTTCAAATAAAAGCCCTGGGGTCATAACTGGCCCGGCCCCAGAGGTGTCATTGTTTTTAACTATATGTGTATAGTAAACACTTTAAAGAAATCTTCTTTTAAAAAGCCCAATGAGCTAGAGCTTAGATGTTTAGCATGAAACATCTTCTTATGGGTGTCTACCAAGTTTGTGCAAATAAAATCCCTTGGGTTAAATTGGCCCTGCAACGTTGGGGGGGGGGGGGGTTGGGGGTTGGTGGGGCCTATATACAAGTGAGCGACCTCAGGGCCATCATGGCCCTCTTGTTTAGTATTCTAAATTGCAATCACCCTTTTCCCCCTTGAGAGCATTAGCGTCTGTGATATGTCAACTTAAACTTTATTTCTATTGAATTATTTAAAAGTAAATGCTCGTTTATAAATTACGCTTAGGGTGTGTAACCAGCTTTCAAATATTTAGATTTTTAGCAAGCCATTATTAACAATGTACTTAAAGTTAATTATCACTAACATCAAATACCAGATGGCTATAATGCAATTTATTAAAGGGGTTTTCATGAGTTTTCATATTGGCATTAAGGCAAAATTAAAACAGTTTGATAGAATTTCTTTAAACTTGGCATATAATTCATGTAATTTATTGAATTGCATAATTATATTATGTTTTGTGATTAACAATTAAAAAGAAAATATAGTCTAGAGGTAAAAACAAGATTTTACAGATGGATGAATAAGTTATTTGCCCTTAGAATGACCTCAAGTTAGTAAATAATTCTGATTCAATGGCAGATAATTCAAAAGTGAGATCGGTACCACCCAAATTCTTTTCGCTTAAAAATTTCTGTCATCATATTCTAATAACATGCCAAGTTTTGAGAAATTCTATTGAACAATTTAATTCTGCCTTAGTATATGTCAATATAAAAAAACTCTCGCATGACTTTAATTTTTATCCTGTGCCCGCAGTCATTTAAAGTCCAGTTTGGCTAACACACCACCACTTTTGTACAATTTTGTGCTGTAATTTCGAGGAACATTGTAGGGAAATCTATCTGCTAAATGTATTTATATTTGAAAGTAACCTTTGTGAGGTAATTTCTCTTTTCTTCTTTACGGTAATGTCATTAGTGGTTCAGTTCCAATTTTCATTTGATAATTTTTAAGAATCTTCGAATACTGTGAAAATCCGTTGAAATTAAAGATACCAGGGACGGAAAATGGCAATCACCTGCTAACAAACCCTTCAATATTGACAATGAATTCATACAAACATCACATTTTGCAAGAAATAAGATTTTATGAATGTTAAGCGTCCTATTCAATCTGAAAGCATATCTGTTGTTTAAATGAACACTACGTATTACTTGTTAGCAGTTGATTGTCATAGTGGAACTGAAAATGAAAGAGTGAATGATGGTAAACATTGTCAAATACATTTGTTAAACTGAGTTATGCAATTACATAAGTGACAAGACTATAATGTACACTGATCAGCATTAAGCATGAATGCTTGAACTAAAAATTAGCCTTTGGCCCATTGCCATTACTACATCTGTGTAGTCAGACTGACCAGACTCTGTCGATGGGTCATGTTTGTAATCCATAAAATTTTGTTTAATTTAAATTCACTTTTTTATTCATCAATTGACAGATTGTTTACATGGCAATGTGCCATAGAATAAGACCACACAGGATGAAACAGAAGTGCACGAACAAAAGGAGACCAGAGTACAAATGATGGAGTATAGATGTTCTTCTTTGAGGACATGTAACTAAATTTAAGCGCTAGCTTATCTAATCAAGATGAAAGTTTTGGATGCACGTTTATTATACTAAATGATTTATCAGATTAAATCATCTTTAAATTTATAAAGACAAATTAGTTTCAAAAACAGTTTGCTGCCTGGAAAGACTCCGTGCATCTATGCGACCAAATGGCGTTTAAATTGGTCTGCAATATCTTAATCTAACACAATAGTTCAATCATTTGTGTACTTGTTTTAAATTGAATCGTCTAAATTTAATAAATTCCGGTTCAGCTGCTTACAATATGAAATTAATAAAATAACAAAATTAAGAGTTCTGAAAAATAAGAAGTACTTTAGAAACCCTTCTTTAAGTAAAGATTATGAATGTTAGTTTTGATGGCATTTTATAGAATGCTATGTAAAAGGGACAGACATTTCTATTACTCTTTCTGTTAGCTTTTTATAAGAAATTTATATGTGTGTTTGATAAAACTATAAAATTCGGACCATTAGCCATGCAGTTTTAAAACAGTTTGCATACATAGAAACTTATTTATTTAAATACAACATGTCTCTGGTATCAAGTCAATTTAATAACAATTATTTTCATTTTTTTTCTTGATATATGATTCAGAACTTCAATATACTTAATGTTCATCACAAAAGATAAACTGGAAATAGACGCGCCAGTATAATGGGGAAAAGGCAGTATCGTACAAAGAGTGATATAAAATCACATGATAGTGTTTTAAACTTGATAATTTGTGACAGAAAGGAAGGAATGATGTTTTCTCTAACTTTTAAATTTACATGAATCTCAGTATACATTAAAACTAATACATAGAAAACCTGTGTCACGGTTGGTATTGAATACAACAACTAAATAATTCATACAGTTTAAACAATCTGGTATATAAGCTCTTGAAAAAGATTACGAAATTACATATAGTATAGCAGTATTACATTATCCCGTCCTTACGTGTCTGCCTGTATGAACTCAAAGATTATGCGAAGAAATTCTTAAACGTGTAAATATTAAGATTTGGTAGAGCTTATTTATCTTTCAAAGTTTAAATTTGTTTCAAGATGAATATAAAGGGTGTTTTAAACATTGTTATTGTTTAAATCATTCTGCTTTCTGTTTTTTAAGCAATCCAAAACACTTTGTTTAAAATGACCTAAAGATGCGTTCATATAAATACCATTTAGTTTAAAAAATACATCTGGAAAATGTTTTTGTCTAGTGATATATAAACATTATATATCTCAGAATAAGATACAAAAGTGAACTACTTTGTTAAATAATTTAACAAATTATCGCCCGAGAAAGGTGAATTGTCACTCCTTGGACCTTTTATTTCTGACTGTTCTCCGTTAGAAGTGATAGAAGTATTCAACTTCTAAAGTTGATTTATTGATACTGAAATCACTGTTACTATTCAAACTTCCAGCTTGGTCGATTACAAATGTTTGAAGATCATAAAACATTTACAGAAATTATCAATATAAATTTAAATTTAAAGTCTGGATAAAAAGCAACAATAACAAAAAGCAAAGCAACTAACTATTCTTTAATTGAAATTGATATGAAAGAAAATAAAACATAAGCATTATGTTTTTATGACTTTAGATTAATTATTTGGTACTATTCCTTCAACAATGTCAAAATTGCAAGAACCGTTTCTTGAATCATTGAGAGAAATAGACGCTGTCAATAGAACGTGATGATGTAAATACGTATATTGCCTGTTCATTGCCTACGCTTAATTGTCCGTTCTAACAAAATCTGAGTGATTCTCATATGACCAAATATAAAAACGGCGGAATGCAATTGACAAATTGGTACTGAATTTAGTGTCTACTAGACATTTATTTAAAAGAGGAAAAAAGAGACAATTGCCCAGAACATATGTAATCATCGATGGAAATTACTTCCTAGAAAAAGTCAGTGAAAATAGTATAAGGATACCATCGGAGGTTTTCCTCACTTAGAAAACTGAAAATCCAATAGCAAAAACGTTTCGTCTTTAATACCAAATAAGACCAGTGAGATTGCAGTTTCAAATTAATTATTAAATATTTGAGCTGATACGTTTAATTTGTCGTGTAAGGTCAGTGACAGTGTGTTATTCTTGCGACGTTACGTAAATTTCAATGAACTTTGGTGGTTACTCGAAAATAAAGGGATGATTCGCATAATTGTTACGCTAGTGTTTTATCGTTTTTATTTAACGGCTTTTTAACTCCCGCGCAGGGTTAGGTTTAAAATCACCCACATATATTTTGATGACATTTTAAAATACATGCGTGCAGACTTTCCCTATGATTTATCCAGAAAAAAACACCATTTTAAAACGTTAGACCAGAAATATACAGTTGTAAGAAAAACACAAGTTTACCCTTATGGTTAATAAATTAATAAAATAAATATTTCATTCTACGTAAAAATAATTGTATCATCCTCAATATCATACCGTAAAGAAGGAAATGTCAAGTATTTTGTCAGTAAATTTATTCTTTTATTGATTTGCATAACTATGTCTTCTATTCATTTAATCAGCGTTAATTACTTATTGTCAATCAGATACTAGATACATGCACTAGACACAAAATGATTGATTTAAATCTCCGTGCATAACATTTTTTGCATGATCAAACAAATGGTCCCTTTGCTACAGTTTGAAAGGGGTTCAAGTACATACATCGCTTGTCGTCTGAAAATGGTAATGTATGTTAACAATTTGTTTTGTAATCTGTACACGGAATTGTTCTGAACATATTTCGTTTCAGTGGCATATGTCTGCTCCTCATATGTACCCGATGATTAGTCAAAATGTAACTACAGTATGCTTAATTTTTACATCATGCTATTGATAATATACCCAAGATTCGCTTTTGTTGTAGCCATCTTGATTCTGCTCGAGATGAAAATTATCTTCAAAATTAATGTTCATCATGTTTCATAAAGACTCTTTTTTATGTATCAAAGGTCAGTGTATCTCACTAAAATACTTTATTATGTGATGTTCAAAGAAACGTGCTTTTTCATTTGTACGATATGTTTATTGTTTCTAATAATGTCTTATGAAATGCCAATTGCGAGGACTGATTGAATTAATTGTTGGCTTTGACCATAATTCATATTCTTTACGTGTGCTCAATGTAGACACTGATTTAATTAATGTCTTACAGCTTATTTCG